AAAATTCACATTTAATATGAAGTTATTGAGCGGTGTAACACTTAGTAAAAGTTACACCGGTGTCGTTTGAACCCTCCTCATATATATATATATATATATATATATATAAAGAGAGAGAACGATAACACCACAACATGTACGGCAAATAAGTTTGTTAAACATGTCCCAGCTGAGTAAGGAATGTTATGTTTTCTTATTACGTAATTCAAAATAATTATACAAGTATTTGTACATGAATTGTAGCACATGGTGAAACTTGATTATCAATTGTCAATGATGAAACCCCAATACACGTCTTCTATCATTAACAAATGACCATATTAAAGGACTTGCTCTCCAATCCAATAGTTCTGTCAAAGTACTGGATCACTCACATTGACACAACTGTTTTGGAACATTCACTCTCTCTCATCCATTTGTTTCTCTCTCTAGTATATATATAGCCTGTTTGCTTTTACGTTTGAAAACTTGGACGTGATTTTGAGAAACAACTATTAGTTACTTTTGCTGCGTTATAACGTGAAAATAGGGGAAAACGTGGATCTCAAACGTATTACCAAACACGCACATACTTACATACTTACTACCGATACACCACCTCAAAGCACGCAAGTTCATACAGAAGGGCCCAAAAACAAGGACCCAAGTGTCCCCAATATGACTCCGAACAACAAATTGTGTTATTGACAAGCTCTAGTATAGACATTTTTCCACGATTTTACAATCTTATTTTACATCAACGTATTATTTTGGGGCCTTTCCATTTCTCCCCTTTTCTTTTTTGTTCAATAACATAAAAAAAACGATTGACAGTATTTTAGGAGTGCTCTAGAACACCGAAACCCAAAGTCTAAATTTATTAATTTCGGTTATAGCTCATAGAAAAAATCTTGCATCAATGCGTTTTATACTTGGCCTATGTTTGGTTGGATGGATGGAAAATGTGAGGAAAGAAAAAAAATTGAACTTCAAACTGAAGAAAAAGTGAAAAGAAAATAATATTTGAATTTTTGTCTCTGACTGCCAACTTTCCTCTCTGTCATCCTTTCACTCTCTCCAACCAAATAAAAGAAAATATATCATATTTCACGTTTTCCTTTCTCTCTATCTTCTTTTCTTCCATTTTCATCTCTTCCAAACATAGGGTTAATTCTAACAATCAAATAAACTAACTCGTCAGTGTCTAGTTTATAGAATCTGCAAGCTTCCGGACATTAAAATTGATCTAATCATTGTCTAGTTGATTAAGCTATTTGGTCATTTCATCAATGGTATTTCTCGGCAAATCCTTTCTTTCGCCAAGGGCAATAAAGCATTTAATATTACAGTGCTAAATATAATCTCAAGCACATTATCGACGCTAAGGTGTTCATTGTAGATACACCATTGAAAAATTAATTACTTCAATATTAATAACTTGAATAGTAGTGATAGAATGTAGTCCCTTCACCAGAGTACCAACAAATTATAAGACCTAAAAAGTTGTTCCCAAGTTATATCAATTGACCTGCTTTTCTTCTATACTGTACCTCTGCAGGAGTTTTTGCTCGTGCCGATTGGTCAGCACTAGATGCTTTAGCATTCAATATATGCTTTCTAATATGAGAAATTCTATTGATATTCTCGGAAATTTAAGTGTGTTGGTATTGTTATTGAGAAACTCTCTTCCTCGGTGTGCTTAAACTCATTTAACTATTGGCCCAAAAAACAATTGTAGCAAAACCCTTATTTCTAAGGATGCCCTAGCAACCCTCTCGTAATATCAAGTAGTCTGTGATCTGCACATCAGGGACAAAGGTTTCCATGCGTTGTTAGTCTTGGGAATGAAACAAATAATTTGTATCAATTGAAAGTACAGATAACGAATCAATCAACAAGTTTCAATCGGAGGAAAATAGGAAAACAAATTATGGATGCAAAATTATTGTTGCAGAAATTACATTGAAGTAAATAATGAAAAAAGTTACACAGGCTTGGCACGAACCAAATTTGAGAACAGAGGAAGAAAAGGTTACCTGACCTGGAGGGTACAAGTGGTGAATTTGGCACTACTAATTATTCCTCAATAATGTCTACAGAATCTGGTTCTATTTGTGTAAATAATGACCTAAAATGTTGCATTCGACTGACATATGAAGTTTCCCAAGAAAGAGATTCAGCATTGCAATATTTTGACCACTGTAACGCGGTGGGCGGTAATGCAGACTCAGCCTTCAAAATGACCTGTATAGTAGTCGAAATTAAAGTCAATAACTTCAATTAAATTAAAGATTTAATTTAAAACAGAAAGCATCATATCATACCTGTACAAAGTGACAGTTATGCACAAATCCAATGGCAATAAGTCGGTGACTTGACTGAGATAATGGTGGTCGACCTCTAAGAGGGAAAAAGGTCATGCTCTCTTGTAAGGATAAAGAGACTAGGACCACGTTATATCTTGAGGCAATAACATAACCCATATCTGGTATGGTCATCCACTTATTGACAGATGCTTGCTTGTCAACATACAAAGATTGCCTTAATTCAGCCACTCGATCATTGCTACCAAAGATTTTGGCATAATAATCTTGCCACTGTTGAAGCTCTCTAATCAAATCCTGACGTACTAGAGCCCACGATTCCTCACCCATACCAAGTTGAGCTGCAACTGCACGATAACCACAATTCGCATCTGCTTTCACATCAATAATGTCTTCAATAAATGGATGGATCTCAACCGGAAATTGGTCTATCATTGGCAGAACACTCCTACATTTAGACTCATGGACTGATTTTTGAGATGAAGGGTGAGCCAATGTGCTATCATGGGCAGGATGCAATGCATCAACATTCTCCCAGTATGAAGAATCACATCTAGTTGATTTGTCTCTTTTTAACACTGGACCCTCTATTGTTAACATTTCAGGAGGTGGACACAATAAACATGTATCAGGAAATGCTAGTTCATGCAATTTAGCCTTCACAATAACTTTCCCAGCATAATCAAGTTCTTGAAATAGCTTGTGCAAAGCATCTATTTCATGTTGCAAGGATAACTCAGACCCCTCATTATTCATTCCTGGGTCACTAAAGTGTAACTTCCTCCAATGAACATGAATTGCCTGCAAGGGAATTGGATGACTCACCATACCGTACCTACCAAGTTCACATGCACAAGGTAGCCCATGTGTAGTTCTAACTGTGCAGCCACATATAGAACTATCAATTCCAACTGTCTTAACTCGATCATACTCATCAGTTATATGACCCAACGCATTCCTTGATACAAATCCCACCAATTTGATGTAGAATGAAGTATTATGCCTATGTTCCACAACATTTATGCTTTTCTCAAATGACTCCTTAATCTCTGTGTGTTGCAATGTAATCATGTTGTTCATAGCATTCCAATAGCTACACATATCCTCCTTGTCATCTTGAAGTAATTTCTTCAACCTCCAATGTGTTGCCTCAACCCTGTCAAGTAATAAATAATAATAATAATAAAATTATTTATAATAATAATTAATGTAATAAGTAGTATAATAATAACTATTAGAATAATTCTATAACAAATAATTATAACTAACAGTAATAATTATAATATAATTTTTGCAGTAATTATTAAAAATATAAGTTTGAGCATACCTATTGGTGGTTGTATTACCCAAATGCATCACTTGATTTGTCCATGCAGTGACAAATTTTTCCTTGTGTGGAATCAGCCATGTATTTTTCACATAATCACTAAAACCCGGAAAATCTGAGCAAACTTTTTCAAACAATGTCAGATGCTGCATATAATCACCCTCATTAGGAGAATTCATAACACTATCCCATGCATCGAGTACTAGGTCCTGCTTCTCCTTTGGTTGAACTATTGACTTACATTTAGCTTTCACAATCTTGCTGATACGCAAACGACATAACAAATTAGAAGAGCTCGGAAAGACCACCTTCACAGCATTCATCAGAGCAATGTCTGTGTCAGTCACAATCACTTGGGGTACGTCATTGTCTTTGACAATCAGTCCTCTTAACTTTTGTAGTGCCCAAATGAAGTTATCAACTCGCTCTGACTCCATATAAGCAAATGCCACCGAGAATGTCAACTCCGTTGAAGTAACACCAACAATCTCAAGTAATGGCAACTGATACCTGTTGGTTTTATAAGTAGTATCAATAAGCAAGACAGTGTTGAAAGCACCCAGAAGTTTAATGGCATCTAGATGTGTCCAGAAGATATCTTTGATAATATCAGAATCGTCCACCTTTCTATGCCAGTACACATACTGATCATGTTCTAATAATCTCAATAGTTGTCGCATTTCTGAACCTTTTCGAGAGGATCGATAAGCTTGTCGAGCATTGTAAATCTGCTTGATAGAAGTGACATTATCCACATTATGATCTTTCAATGTCAATAGTATGTCTTTTGGCTTCACCATGTTCTTTGTCAAATCATCAACCAAAGACTTCTCTTCAGCACTCAACCGACCAGCGTATGGATGACCCACTAATGTTTCTGCCAAGTCATGGTTGTGACAACCACTCATTACCTTAACAATCCATCCTTCAGACTTTTTCAAAGCTTTTCCCCTTAGTCTAAAAGGACAATCACACTTTCTGCTACCATTCACCTTGCGGGATATTGCATTCTTGTGTGGTCTTCTATATTTTCCACTTCTATCGCAACCCAAAATAACAAATGTCTTCCTTTTATTACATTTTGTAGATGTCTCTGACCTCAAAATAATAAGAACAAATCCATTCTCTTTTGCAACATCTCGAGCCCAATTCAATAGAGCATCTCGGGAAGGAAAAACCTGAAAATGTACATAAATATTGAGATTTACATGGTCACATGGTGATAACAAAATTAATTTATCATTCAATTACCTCTTTAGTGTTGAATGCATCACTACAATCAACAGACTTATTTGTTGCCCCATCAGTTCGCATATGCACCTCCTCAGACGTCTTACTAAAATGGTCTTCCATGTCTAGCCATAAAACAAAAATAAAGAATAATGTTATAACACATGAAAAATTCTATAGAAAAGATTCTAGAAATTTATTTCTGAAACTGTTAACAAAAAATTATTACAGAAATTACTTTCCAGTCCTAAACTAGAACATGAGATAAAAATTATCATAAGAAATCAATGTTCCGCAATGTAAAACTGGTGAATTTGTGTCCACAAACAAAAACACATAATTGCGGAATTGAACCAATGATCACAAAAGTGGTAGCAATAATGGAATCATAAAATATTGGCTTTACCTGCATGCCAAATTTAAGAAGACATTGGAAATATTTTTTAAGAAATACAGCAATCAACAAAGGAACAACCTGATAAGAGAGAATGAAGAGACATTTGAAAGGAGGTGACAAAGGAACATCACAACCAACCAGAGACAGACAGCATTTAAGAAGAAAGACTTACTTTCAATATTGAAATCAATAAGCCAGTTACATCCAGAGCTCCATATTTACCAACAATTTTGGCTGTAAATAAGGGAGTCATGATCCACAATGTTAATATTTCAGATAGACAACGTAAGAAAAAGTTTACACCTTAATAAAAGTACTATTTAATCATAAAATATAATAACTCGGTTACTATTCAATATTAAAATATTTTGAAAAACTAAATAACAACTCGACATGATGGAATTTAATAGAGGCCATGCTTCATTATGCATCATGCAGAGGAACCTTTAAACTAAGGCAAATCGTAGTCTCTGGGAGCCCACCTCCAATGCAGAAACTATGTTAGGCTTCCTATTTTTAAAGCAATTTTGATGAGCTTCAATGAGGTTTCAACAATCGTTGGTTTAGAGAATATAGATAAAAACAACTTTTATCTAAGTGCTTACATGATAAGTTCTTATTTAATAAGTGCTTAATAAGCTATTTACCCAAATCCACCCTTAATCTATGTAACAGACATAATCGTTTGATTGTACAAGCTATGAACAGAAAAAGGTATTCCATTCTATCAACTAGATTACAAGAAAAATAGGTAATGGTGATCTCGACCATTAAAGTCCTATTATAGATTTGGTATCTTTGCAGTTACAAGGGTTTTCACAATAGTCTTTCATTCCATATGCAGGACGTAGATATAGAAACAGATGTCAAGGATATTAGACTGAATTGAAATAAGTTCTATGTCTCTCTCTCTCTCTCTTTCTTCTACTTTTCATTTCTTTCTTTATTTTTCAATATTTATGGAGAAAAAGAAATCAAGTGTCCAGGTTAGTGTGTAGTCTTTTCAGTTGGTACTTACATTTGTGTCTCTTTACAGTTTATACTTCAAATTAAAAATAAAGATAATCACTGTTCCACTTATAACTGAACAAGACTTTTCAAGGGCTTGTACTACTTTTCCTCAATCTGTTTTTCAATTATGTGCCGTAAAAGGGTTATGGCAGGGGTAGACCAGATCAGCTTATATCATTGATAAAGGAGTAGTGCTATGCTAGCCAAATATGATCACCACTTGACTGTAATTAACTAATGCTAGTAGTGAAGTTAATAACATAACCTATATTAGAGGGACAGCTAAGAGGTATTACACATGTGAGATTTTATTAAGGGATTCTTCATAGAAAAGAGAGAGAGGTACAGTTAATCTTTTTGTTCGATAAAGACTTTTTAAAGAAAGAAATAGACAAACTGTTGGCAACATACAGAGAGACCTGCAGTTGTTGTACAGCTGTTTTTATGTTCCCCTTTACTGACTCAACTCTTCCCTCTCCCACGTATCACGATATATACTCCTATTTCCGCATCAAAAGTTGTTCTAGCAGGTTCCAATTGTAGCTCATACATTTGTATTCTTATATTAACCTCAAAGGCTCAAAGGTCAAGTGCCATTTTAATTATGATATCCCATTCTTTACATTCTCCATTTCAACATAGCCTCATTTTATGTGTAGTTTGCTTCCACTATTTTAATCATTTAACTGCTCTAATGAAAGAAATAAGTAACACTACGTCAAAGGCTCCAGGGTGATGTTAAAGCTATGTTCAAACTTCAAAGAGGACAAACAAATAGTTTAACTCAAAAATATTGGTTTTAATTGATAACAGAAATATATATCTCAAACTTGTTACTACGTGCTAGTTACAAAATCATTTGTAAGAACAGTTAATTTTCAAGAATAAAGTCAACATGTCCCAGCTGAGAAAGGAATGTTATGTTTTTTTATCACGTATGTCAAAATAATTATACTAGCACAAGTACATGAATTGTAGTCCATGATGAAACTTGATTAATTGCCATTGATGAAACCCCAATACACATCTTCCATCATTAACAAATAACCACGTTAAAGGACTTGTTCTCTATCTAATAATTTTGTCGAAGTACTGGAACACTCACACTGACAGAACTTCTTTGGATCATTCACTCTCTCCCTTCCCTTTGTTTTTCTCTCTAGTATATATACTTACTACTGACACACCACCTTAAAACTCGCAACAGAAGTTCATACATAAGGCCCCAAAATCAAGACTGAAGTGTCCCTGATATGACTCTCTGAACACCAAATCCAGTTATTGGCATGCACAAGTACAAACATGTTATATTTTCCCATGATTTTACAAGCCCATTTTACATCACACATATTTTTTGGGTCTTTTTCTTTTCTCTCTCCTTTTCAACTTTCTTTAATATCATACGGGACACAATTGACAGTGCTTTAGAACAACGAAATCCAAAGTCCAAATTCATTAATTTCAGTTTTATGGAGCAATAGAAAAGCCCTTGCATCAATGTGCTTTATACTTACTGCTAACGATCCAATAAACTAATTGGTTAATAGAACCTCCATTCTTGCAGACAAATTAAAAATGATACAAGCATTGTCTAGTTTATGATACCCTCAGAAATTTAACGGTTTGACACTGTTATTAAGATACTCCATCTCTCTCCCTTAGTGCACCTAAACTCATTTAACTAGTGGCCCAAAATACAATTGTATCGAACCCCTTAGATATCTACTGGTTTGGTGGTGATCCACTTGTAATATTAAGCATTCCGCGATCAGAACAACAGTGCAAAAGGGTTTCAATGTGGTGTTAGTCTTAGGCTTGACGGTTGAAACAAATAATTTGCATCAATTGTCAGTAGTACAGATAACAAATCAATCAGCATTCTTGTTGCGGGGATTACCTGAAGTGAGTAATGAAAATACATGACACAGGCTTGGCAAATACCAAATTCAAAAACACATGAGAGGAAGAAAAGGAAACCTGAGCTGGAGGGTACGAGGGGCGAATTTGACACCAATGCAATGGAAGACTTCTTCCACTACCAAAACTCAATGCGAGTGAGTGGGGACAGAAGATTCTGCTTATAATTTGGAATTTGAAATGCGAACATACAATCTTGATTGATGATAGTGAATCAGCTAGTTGACGTTAGATTTTGTTAAAGCGTAGGGTTTCTTAGGAGTTAGGTCTGAAGTTTGATTCCAGAATTTGGGGATTTTTGAGTTTTTCAGCCTTCAGAGGTAGCAATTAGTAAAGCGGGGTCGATTGTTAAAATTGGATCGGGCGAGTTGGCCCGCGGTGAGATGTGGGCTAAAAGATGTAAGCAATTGTTATTCGGCAATTACTCGATAAACCGCTTTAAATTACTAAAAGTTCTTTTTTTTTTTATAGAAATAGCAAAATGGACCTGAATTATATGAATATCAACAAAAATATCCTCGTAGGAAAGATAAATACATGTTTATATGGACATAGAGATGGGTATGGGACAGATATAGATCCCAAAATTTAATAAGTGTTGCGGGTATGGGTATAATGATATTCAACGCGTCTCACCCCACAGTAATGAATATATATAATATTGTTATTATTTTAGATATAAGTTAGAGTTGTTGGAGTATTTTTTTTCTAAACTATATGGTAGTTTATTTTAAATTGAAATTAATAATATTAAGAAATTGTGTTACTCATTATTTTGAAAAGTATAAAATTAAAGAGAAGAGAATAGCAAAAAAATTCAATTTCATGAACAAATATCAATAAATCAAACTTGAATAATCTAAATATTAATAATATTCTTAATGATTATGACTTATTTATAAATGATACAATTGAAATACAAACAAAGTTTGAAATAGAACTTTACTTGGAAGAAAAATGTTATCTAAGAGTGCTACTTTTGATGTAACACCCCTCAACATTGATGTCTCAACCACTCCACTTCATAAACCAACACAAGACTTTTCAAAATATTTTGTCCTCTCTCGCGCTTAACTATGGAGTTCTTATGTGATGAGCAATCAAAAAGTAAAATATCTTATTAGTATAGGTAGTACAAATTAATTCTTTTAAGTCATTCTCAACTATACAAATCTCTAGATACCTCTCATTTCAGTGTATTCGAACTCTTAGATTTGACATTCTTAGATGGTGGAAAACAAATGGAATCAAGTATCCAATTTTGCAAAAAATAGTTAAGGATGTTTTGGTAATCCCAATTTCAATCGTAGCTTTAGAATTTGTATTTAGCATAGGAGATAGATTTTTGAGTCCTCATCATTCTAGGTTCCATAAATTTACTCTAGAGACACTTATGTGGACACTGAATTAGTTGAAACACAAGTAATAAGATATAAATAATTAAACTTTGTTTATTTAATGAAAGTTGTTTTATTTTTTATTTTAATTATTAATTTAAATTATCTAATAATTCATTTTCTTGTCATATAATTTCTATTGGTATTATTGGACCAAAACAATATATAGACTTAGAAGACAAGCGTTTGTAAAAATATGGAGAAGTTGATTTTGATGATGAGGTCAGGTCATGATGTTGGAAATATAATTACAACTTTTATTATTCATAATTTTTTTAAAAGTTTATTTACAAAAATTAAATATTTTGTAATCTTTATTTATAAGAACTGATGTGTTAGATTTTTATAATTTTAAAGACGTGACAAATTAATATTATGTTTGTTTGTGTGAAATATTATCTCTTTATTGATTTATTTACTTTATACATAAGTAAATTACGAGTCGCAGATACAGGTATGGATACACTACACAGATATCCAGGGAGAATAGGAATGGGGATTAAAATTGCTACCCGCACAAGTATGAGACTAGATACGGGTATTGTTTTTAAACATGAATATGGGGACAAATATTATAAGACCCCCCAAATCCTACCCATTGTCATCCTTATTTTTGTATTTTTTATATATTTTTATTAAGGATTGCATGTGTTTATTTAAGGACATGATTGAATATGTTTTTAATTTATGTGAAATAACTTTTACATTTGGTCCCTATAATTTTATTTTTATTTTTCATTCCTATAAAATTGAAATTGTTGGTTTTAATCCTTAGTATTATATAATCTATGTTAACTACTTCTATCTTTATAAGATGGTTAACTAATTATTTCAGGTGACACCCACAATTGTATATAATATCATATTAACATGTGACACTTCTATTTTTTTAATAAATTATGAAAACAAATGTTATCTATCTACCTTAAAATGAATATTAAGGACCAAAATTAATGACTTAAGATTTGAGAGGTGTAAAATTAAAAAAATAATAATAATTGCTAAAAGTACTTCCTTTGGTATTTTACTCTCTTTTTTATATATATTTTCTCAAGGACTAAATATGTTTTTTTAAGACATGATTAAATATGTTTCGGTTTATGTGAAACGAGTACCTTTTGTTTATGGTTCCTATAAATTATTTTCTCTTTTTTTTTTCAATCTTATAAAATTAAAATTTGTGTTTTTAGTCCTAGTATTATATAATCCTTGTTAAATAAATACTTATGTGGTTATCAAATAGTTAAGTAATTATCTCAAGGGTAGATGTGTCAAAGTGAGTCTAACTTACTGGGTCAACTCAGCTCACCACAGGTCCAAGCTAGATTGTGTTAGAAAAAAATGTATATAAATTTTTGCTAAATTCCAACCCAACTCACTTAATATAACACCCTAAGTTTTTTAAATAATAAAAAGAATGCTTTAATTATTTATGGAGTTTTATAATATAATTTAGAAACTTTTAAAATAATTATGAGTGTTTTAAATTAATAAAAAAAGGGTTTGAGAAATTATTATATTTATTTTTAAATTAAGTGTATTTTGAAGAAAAAATTGTGTTTTTTAACTATAGGTTATTCAATTAAGAAGATAAGGGAATAACTGTTTTTTGTAAATTAGGGCTTTGAGCATTAAATTAGGGCTTTGAGCATAAACAACTTACACTTCTTATTATCACGCTTACACCTCACTCCTTATGCTCTAAAGAAACTGAAGAACTGCCAAGAAATCCATAAGGCAAGGCGACCACCCTAGAGGCTTGCATTTGTCTATGATTTCTTATCAAGGTAAGAGGAGTGAGTAGTCTCACTCTAGGATATGGGTTGTATGCTGGATAGAAAGATTGGCCCCCAAACTCTTATTTGTTCATGTATGTTTTGAGGGGAAATCTCAATTTTGATTTATAAACCATGAATTTGTGTTTCATACTATTCTTATGTGCATTATTTGTGATGATTGAGATATATGTATAATCAATTTTGTGTGAATTGAAGTATGTGTGGATCTATAAGTACATGTAGTTCTTGTAGGAAACCTTGATTTATGGAGCAAAGTGAAGATTGGTGTTAATTGCATGAATATGTGAAATTGATGTATGACTTAAGTAATTCGTGGTATAATAGAGTAGTTTTAGGCATTAATATATATTTTTACCAATTAGATGAAGATTTGGGATTTTGAGGTTTGACTTGTGTGATTTTCCCACACCTACAAGATTTTCACGAACTAGTGTTGTGTCGTGTGCCATATCTAGGTTCGACATAAAATGTTTGAAATACCTAACATAGAATGTCCTTGGCACATTAGTGCCATAAGTATTCAATGTGCTCTACTTGCATTATCGTTAGTACGCTTTAATGAGACATGTTCTCCACACTCCAAAAAGATTTTCGATACAAGAGATGATTTTACTCTTTGATCTCCTACCATTTTTATTGTCTGATAAGGGATCCTACTCTTAAATCTACCAATAATTATATTGGCCAACACATGAACTCTAACACCTATAAATTTTTTTTTATAATTTTTTTTTTATAAGGTCCCTATAAAATATTGTTTTACGATTTTAGTTATTGATTTTCTCTAATAGATGATCAGCACATCATCAATAATAGTGACAAAGACTAAAATCATTAAAGGATCAAATCAATATGTTTTTAAAGATTCAAATCATAAATTATGTATACTACATGAGTTAAAAACATATTTAAACTAATAAATATTTGTATTTAATGGAATGTATCATTTTTAATAAAATTATATATTTATTTTTTATTCATGTATAAAAAAATTATTTATAAGTTTTTCGTGTGTATAAATGACAAGATAATCTTTATCCACAAATATCATAAAACTCTATTAGATTTTAAATGAATAATTAAATGGATACGCACTTAATAATGAAGTAGGGACATATACTAAGGTACTCATACCAGTGAGTACCTATAATTTAAAAATATTAAAAATACTCTTAATAGCTAATATACAAAGTAATTTGATTTAATTTATTTTTATATTAAATATATGTGTCATAATTATTTTATTTTTAGTATAAATATATTATAAAATTATTTTTAATATAAATATATATTTTTTAAAGTTATTTATTTCTAATTTTATTTTATTTCCTACATTTTATTTGAAATATTATATTTTATTAAATATCTATGAGGAGATATCAATTTACTTGAGGAGTAAGTTTAGGTTACTTCGTTCAATAACTCATGTTCTATGTTAAATTTGGACGATCCAACTGTTGAATTTAAAGTTCTTAATACATAGATCAAGTTTGCAATGAAGTATCAAACAATCTTTAAATTTTTTAAAAATTTGCAGACTTAATCTATGCATTAAGAATTTTAAATTCAACTGTTTGATTATTGAAATTTGACATAGTAATGAGTTATTAAACGGAATAAATTTAGGTAGACTTACTTATAGAATAAAAAAATCTTTCCTCAATCTCTCTCTCTTTGTTACTACTCCCCAACTTGCGCGGTTTCCATCCTTGGTCATGGGCCATAGATAATAAGAACTGATCTTCTTCGATTTTTTTAATATACTTTTTTTTATTATCCAAATAATCCACCCCTTTTTTATTTATCTAATTAACCCATTTCCCCGACCCAAGTGAGAGATCGGTTGGGGGAAACTGATTTCTCACTTGGCCCCCCCTCCCTCAATTTTTCTTAGCTTAGTGAGAAATCAGTTGTTGGACAATTGATTTCTCAAACTATTTTTTTTTTGTTTTTTCTGTTTTCTATTTTTAAAAATTTTTAAAATTATTTTAATTTAATTTAAAATTCAGATTTGGATATTATTTTTAATATTTAAATTTAATATTATTAAATTTTTATATATTTAACATTATAATTATATTTAAATTTTAAAAATTATATTTAATATTTAAATTTTATTTTAAAAATATAGATAATTTAATAATCTAAT